AGAGAAGATTACTATGACTATTCGTGACAGGTAAGTTGACTGGACAGTTCAAATGGAAATTTAAGACCAGTTTCCCTTTTTCTTGGGCTTTTTGGATTCTGTGAATATAATATTTATTTTGTTGCAGAAAATAATCAAATGTTACTGATGAGCCTTAGAGTCTTAAAATTTGTGTGGTGCAGATTTTTCTTACATAGTTTGGTTTTTTTAAAAATAGTGTTTTGATTTTGCATACACTTTTATTTCAGAGCTTACAGAAATTCATCCTCTAAGAAGTTACTTTCCTATCTTAATCTGTTTCTGTAGAAAATAGAAAATGGACATTGGAAAAGTGAGCAGCATGCATCTTGGGGCTCTTTCTAATTTACTACTTAGACACCCAGTCTCCAGGGTGGAAGTGCCAGGGTCCCTGCATAACTCCAAGTCTCTACAAGTTCCAAAAACAGACCTGGCTTTTTGCCTGGTTATGAAGCTCTAGTTGTCAGGGTGGGAAGATGGGACATTTTATTTAGCAGTTAGTCCGTTTAAAACGTAAACATTTAGCACATGAAATCTGGGCATCCATTTATTTTCTTGCCCCAGCCCTCACAAGTGTTAAGGGTGGGCCTCTGTCATATTGTTAGAGTTAGCTTTAGAGTTTTTCTTCTAAAACTATTATTTCTTGTGTTTCTAGTTTCTCACATGTGGAAGGTACTTAGTAAACATTTTATAGATGAATACCATTTTTGCTTTATATCTAAGGAAAAGAGTAATAGTAATAACGTGGACCAATAGGAAGAGATGACTGTTCTGAATTTTATGAAAGCACAGGTTTATCAGAAAACCCATGTGATGACATGGCAGCAGAATTATAGAAAGGTGAGCAAGTATAACTGGCATGATAGAGCTGGCTGCCTTATTGTAATAGCTACATGTCTTCCTTTCTAAAAGGAACTTTCTAGAAGCCATTTAAGTCTTGGATACTTAAAAGAAGGAAATATTAGTAGTTTAGGCAAACCATAATGGATAAATTAAAAGAAAAATACAGTCGACCCTTGAGCATGAGTTTGAACTGTGCGGGTCCACTATGGATTTATGGGCCTAGCACACTTGCGCTGCACCACTCTGCTCTCTACCACTATGGATTTAAATTAATATGGGGACCTGCGCAGTTCAACCTGTATGGTACAGGGTCAACTTTTTTGAGCCACTGTTGGCAATCTGCAAATGAGGATGGCTGATGATAGTTTATGCAGAGTCAAAAGTTCTCTGCAGATTTTTGACTGCTTGGAGGGTCAGTGCTCCTAACCCCCTGCATTGTTGAAGGATCAGCTGTAATCTTTTATGCTAAGATATTCTCTGAATGTACAGTATCACAGCCAAACTTAGTTGCTCCTATTGGAAACACTGAGTTTATGATAACAAAACAACTAGTATGGCAGAATAGAAGTCCATTAAAATGTTTACTGTGCAATTTTCAATTGAATCCATTATGTTTTACAGGCCCTTTGAACGCACAATTACTATGCATAAGGATAGTACCGGGCATGTTGGTTTTATCTTTAAAAATGGAAAAATAACATCCATAGTAAAAGACAGTTCTGCAGCCAGAAATGGTCTTCTCACAGAACATAACATCTGTGAAATTAATGGACAGAATGTCATTGGGTTGAAGGTAAAGAACTTGTTTTTTGTCTATTCAGATGTTGCTGTTTTCATATTGACCCCCAAAATATAGCGATACAGTGGTAGATATGTGATGCGGGGATCTGGGGTTCTGGCTGTACTCAGGCCACTCAAAGGAGTTATCTGGGCTATTACCAGGAATTATTTATTGTTCCTATAACAAGGGGCTGGAGTAGATGATCTCTGAAGTCCCTTGAACTAGAATTTTATGGAGACATAGGCATTAAAGGTTTGATGGCATTTTTAATGAATGCTTGTACAACTTTTCCAATTTGGGTTATGGGCAACAAGTAATAGTTTCTATTCAAATTCCTGAGTAAGACTCTTTTAAGATCTAAAGGATTTCATTATAATCTGCTTATTTCATAATCTTTGGTTAACTGAGGGGATATTGTAATAATCTTAAGATTGTGATTCTACACTAAACTTGGTAAGGAAAACTAGAAAAAAATTGTAAATACCAAGAGTCAGGATTTTAGATTAGCAAAACATAAGAGGACGTATTTCTTTAAAAAGAATAACAATTTTATGTTTTCAATAGGACTCTCAAGTTGCAGACATATTGTCAACATCTGGGACTGTAGTTACTATTACAATCATGCCTGCTTTTATCTTTGAACATATTATTAAACGGTAAGTAGACACAGTTCTTTAACTTGATGCTTATGCTAATGTGACTTAAAGGCAAGCACAGTACAGATATATTAATTCCCAAACTTTTGGTTCTTTACCTAAGGGGTGACATTGGAGTAAATTATTTAAAATCAGAGGATTTGGTTGGTAAGGATGACCCCTTACAATTTTTCTAAGCTTGGAATAAAATTCATTACACACTGGAAATTTTGACATTTCCTACTAGGAAAAGGATATACGAGCAGATTTGGGCAAACTTTCCCTTCAGCTTCCGAAAATGGACTGGTTGCACGCTGCCTATAGTTCCTCTGCTCAGTAGAATTTACTCGTGGTTCATGATGACAAATTCTTACTGGGTGTTAGGAGTCACAGTTTTTACTCTCTCGAGCATTGCGGGAGGCAGGTAACGGGAAGACTGGAAAGCTGAGAAAGGAGACTAGAAAAGGGGCAGCATGGGTTACCCTTCCCTGGAGCTTTTAAAATCCTGGCTCTAGCAGAACTGTTTTTGCCAACTTAGAATCCTTTTTTTCAGGATCTATTTTGCATATGGAAATAGGCGGATAATGTAGTTTTGTTAGTTTCAGGTGCTAGGTAGAAAGCAGCTAGCTACTTTTGGGGTATAAAAAAAGGAGTTACTGTCGAATAAGTGATAGCTGTCCCCCAGTTTGCCTCCCAGTTCATAACAGCATTTTTTAAAAAAATCATCAGCCTTAATATACAAAAATATACAAAGACTTACTTGTATCTTATCTAACTTTTCTAGCCAAGATACAGATAGTCTTTCACAGTGGACATTTGCAAAACAAATAGATTACATGAGACCCTTAAATCAGAACTCATTAAAAAGACCGCCCCCCCCACCATCCCACTTGATGCTTCATGCTAATAGCTGCTAAGTTTGAATTGGAGTTTTCTTGGATCAACATAATGACTCTCTTGTAGGATGGCACCAAGCATTATCAAAAGCCTGATGGACCACACCATTCCTGAGGTTTAAAAGTCACAACACAATGGAAACTTGGCTGAATTTCTCCAGTTTACTTCTTTGGCAACTTCACTCGATATTATGCACAGGAAGCTTCCTAGGAGCCAGAGAGCATATGCTGCATGAGGTCCTTTCTGTCTTACAGTATGGCTGGGAATCTAACTGTTTGATCTGATAATAATTGTTCAGACTTCAAAATAGTTGTAGCCTTATCCTGGTTTTACAGATGTGAAACTCTCAAAATCAAGAGACTTACTTTCATAGATTAGTTTCTCTACTGGAAACCTGATGCTTTCACAAGCCATTATGATTAGAATGACTGATGCAGGCTTAGCTTTGTATTGGAGCCAGTCACCTTTGTCCTATAAGTCAAGTAGTGCTGTTACTTTAGTTCTATGGTATATTTGCATTTTTACTGTTACCATAGGACATTTAGAATGATTGCTTTCGATAGTTGTTTGTGTTGTTTTTTTTTGTTATCTCTGTGTGTAGTGTGTTTCTGTAAACACCAATTAAATAACACTGGTTTCATTCCATGTAGGAAGCATTAAACAATGTATGCAAGTTGTATTAATTATCATTAAATTTTAACTACCTTCACTTAATATGCTTGAACTGCTGCCTTAAGCATCTAGAAGAAAAGCCAAAATATAACTATTGCTGCCTTTCTAATACCCATAATGCAGTTCCATATTAAACTGACATGTACGTTAGCCCAGAACAAGAGCTATATGTATAGCGTAGCTGCTTAGATGCATTTGAGATTTTCTAGTTAGAGTCATTGTGTAATGAATGCAACTACTTCTCATAGTTCCTGGTATCATTTTCTGATAAATGAATTACTATATATTTAATGTAAAAATTCTTAATACTAAGTAGAATAAACTTTTGACTTTTTTTCATTCATAGGTTATATCACTTAACTGCTTTGGGATGGTCTTACAAACCATGTTGTCCTGGTGATTTGTTCTATTTCCTAACTTTGCCCTGAAAACAAAATGGCATTGACACTTTATCCTGATTTTTCTTTTTCTCTTTGGTTTCTGCCTATTCCAATTAAATATGTATGTATAAATAAAGTCAAAATTTAGCCAGACTGTCTATTGCACCTTTTGGAAACTGTCCATGGCTTTCACTAAACTAGTACATGACCTAGAAAACGGACATGTGAAATTCACCTGGGACTTGTGGTGGGAGTCCTCTCTGCAGCAGCTGACATCCAGGGGTCCCGAAAAGGCCCTCTGCTAGGGGAGAAGCTGATGGACAGGTCTGCAGCCATCAAGGTGAGCACCAGGACTTGGGTGAGGCTGTAGATTCTCCCTAGCGATACTTGAGACCAAGTAATGTTTAATGGCACTTAAAACTGACTGAAAATTCTATCATCCTAGAATGAGTCCTAGTCTGACTCAAGTTTTCCCCTATGCCATACTGCCTGCAAGATAAAACTATTTTTAAAGAGTATAGAAAAATTTTAAATCCTATATTATTGTGGTTTAGAAAAGAAAAGTGTTACTGCTTTGCAGCTTACCTTGTTTGAAATTTAGCAAAGCAAACCAGTGTTGCCCAGTTTGATGATCTACTTTGCTGTCTGGACTTGGATCTGAAGATGGTTCCAAGTGTAAGAACAACATTCACATCACTAAGTATGGTTTTCTAGGAGGATCAATACTTGAAGTTCTTAAAAAGTCCTAGTTATTGTAGTAAGAAAACGAAAACGTTGCATTACAGAAAAATATTTTTAATGTAGAAAAGATGAGCATTTAATAGTTATCATGAAATAAACTGTTCCTGTACACAGTAAACTTACTGCTGTAAGAACGGCCATTCCTTCCCCGGGTCCCTGGAATCTGGGGACAGTAGGTTATAGAAAGTAACCACACCATGAAAACACCCAGAACCCAGGGGGCAGCAATGGTGTAAATCAGGAAGACAAAGTAGTGGCTCAGGAGTAGAGAATACGGCACATTTTCTTGGAAAATTCTAAATTGTTAAGTGCTTTCTGAATGTTCCCCAGCCCAATTTAGCATCTCTGCCACTCAAACCTGTCTTCTGACCATCATCATACTGGGATGATCATCTGCCTTACAAATGTTAATGTTCCTCCCTAACAGTGCTGTACCTTTACCTTCCTTTCAGGATGGCAACTAACAATTTTCAGTGACGTCACCATGACTTAGAAAGTTTAAAACCACAAATTTCTTATGTGGTAAAACTTCTAATACTACCATTGCACTTTCACCAGTTCATTTAAAAGTTTGGCTTAAAAACACATTAAATAGAGTTTTTAACATTCAGGAGAGGAAAAGGCACTTAATACTGCAATTTCCAGAACATAATTTTTCTGTCTTCCCCTCCTGTGATGATACTGCTACACTGTTCATTCATCCATATACAGGTCACAGCACCTACAAGGAAAAGACACTGGTTAGGGATGGAGTTGACAGAAGGTCCCCAAAGATACACTAAGAAGTGCTGTACTCTCTTATCTGATAACTGCTTAGTCCGAGGAATTTGTGAGGAATAGAAACCATGTATATAAGTAAAGCTAAAAGAACTGGGAATTATGGGTACAGGACAGAATGCAGGTATTATGTACTAACAAAAATCAGGAAGCAGATAAGGGAGAGAATTGGTGTTAATCTGATGATTTACATCTATTTCTATCGGAAAGAGTAAAAATGTTAAAGCTAGTAAGTTGGTGGAAAAGGCATAGATACATCATTTTATAAAGTTAAGAAGCACTAACCCTATAAAACTGGGTGACAGGGAAGAGAGGAAGGTGAGAAGTTACTGTTCACAGTGAGAAGGTAGCAGATACTTTTAACCATTGACACTAGAAGAATTCAAAGCCATAAACCTTCCAAATGATCAGGAGAAAACAATGCAAACGTAAGCAAATATAGTGAATCTCCAGAAATCTAAGTGAAAAGACATATGACACTATTATGCAAACATCCTCTCAACAAGACACACCCTGGACTGAAACTGGAAAAGTCCTCTAAGGAAGACAAGTGGGGGGTAGGAGACAGTGGTGGGAATTTGACAGCTTTTCTCGTAGTTCATTATATTGTTTCTAACTGTATTAAAAAATATTATAGCTTTTACAATGGCTTTTAATTCTCCATATGGAAGTTAATGTAAAAACTTCCTTTTTGGAGTCAAATGTCCATCAACATAAATCTAAATTCTGAAGGACTCAAGAGATACAGGCCAGCCAGGATGCTGTAGGGGAATGTTAGAGCCCAGAGGGCACAGGGGCTGAAAGAAAAGCAAGTTTGAATATTAACTGTATCCTGCTACTTGACTGAATTTGTTTATCAGATCTAATAGTTTTTGGTGGAATCTTTAGGATTCTCTCTATATAGTATGTCATCTGCAAATAATAACAGTTTTACTTCTTCCTCCCCAGTATGGGTATCTGTTTCTCTCTGATTGCTGTGGCTAGGACTGCGGGAAAGCAGGTTTGAGTTCGGTATTTGGGGAAGAAAGGTCAGGCTAATTAAAAACCCCTTACCTTTATGTCCCTGTATTCTCTCACAGAGTTTTCCTCCGAGGAGGTCCCAAACAAGAAGTTCACCAGACTGACTTCCGGATAAAACAGTATTTCCATCCCAGATAAAGCACCTGCAAGAATAATCTCTATATAAAAGCCTAATATGCAAAGTGTCCCCTCGGGAGTTCAATCGCTAGCTATGACGTGTGCTGACCACCAGGGGACTGTGCAGAACAAAGGAAGTTCCCCCACCATCAGCCACTAGGGACCCTACCTGTGCATGGTTTTTGTGCACTGGGCCTCTAGTTTAGAAATAATCATTTCATTATTCATCATGAAGGAAGAGCTATATTATTCTGGCCAAAGTAAGCCCAAAGGCACATGCTCACGAACTTGTGTGTAAATGTCTTCACCGTTAGTAACCCCGAAAATGTACCTCTGGGGCTTGTCGGAAGTCATGGAGGAGATAAGCATTCCTGTCTGCACGTCTATTACATTCACACAGCTGTCTTCTCCTGTGCTGAGGACATGGCGACTATCTGTAACACCAAGGGACACAGATAAAAGGTTACAGCTTCAGAGCGTAGATTATGAGATTTTATTTCCGAGTCTGGTGGCCTAATGTTCATTCTCATTTTCCTTGAGCTCCTTGTTTTACTTAACCAATGACTATCCTCTCTTTGAAATGCTTCTGTTTTGGAGCATTTGAGATCTTGCTCACCAGCATGTGCCATCAGTTTGGCTCAAATTCTTAGGGACAAAAACAGAAATGCTGTGTTTCTAAGACACTGGGCAGATGCAATTACAAATCTTACGAACTAATTTCTCTAGTGAGTTGAGGGATAAGTAATAATATCCAATACAGTTTTTCTACTCGGTACAAATGCCACAAGTATACTATATTCTGCCATGAAGAAGCTCTAGCTATAGGCAAAACTTTTATCTGCAAAGTGTTTTTCTTTTTACATTTTTATTTCAAAGTAATAATTCGAGTCCCCCCCAGGATCATCTGCATTAAAAAGGACAGTAATACCTGGGCTGAAAGCAGTGTCACACACAGTCCCTGAATGGCACTGAATCTGGTGCAGTATGGTGGCCGTGGTGAGGTCCCAGATAGTCACCTTGCCTTCTCTGGTGCCTGAAACCAGCAGTGTGCTTGCAGCATTTAAACTGATGGTATCCACCTGAGCAAGAAAACATATAAGTATTCCCTTTAGAATTAGGCTCATAAGCTATGTTTACCTAGGCCCGTTCAAATATGTGGGCGTAAGGATGCAGATTAAACTCTATGGTACCGTGTCCTGGTGTAGTTAATGCAGATGTATTTAAACATCACCTACTGAATGATAACTAATCTCTTCGTATGCTAGTGAATAAAATGAAGTGTTATTTGGGGAAATGTAATGCTGTTTTAAAATAGCCTAAACTTGTCAGTCTAATTCCATGAATGTTAAATTGTAGAGATTTGCCAAACTGCCTGAAACACAGCTGATTGATGATTTGAGGAATTTGGGAGGGCAGGGAGGGGGGGAGTAGTATCTCAAGGTTATACCTAAATACTCATCTTGAGTTACATACTAAATATTTCTTGACTTCAGTTGATCTGTCAACCATGCAAAGTAGGCATCACTTCCCAGCATCAGAGAAAAGGAAGTACGTACTGGGAGTGAGAACCGAGTGGGAACCAGTGGAAATAGCAACGTGAGAAAGGGACCAGGTGCCAGCCTGGTTTTGCCCCTGACTGCACACACTTGGGCCAAATAATAAGGTCAGTGTCCTCTGTGGTGGATGTGCATTCTCCTAGAGCAGTGATGGCGAACCTATGACACGTGTGTCAGAGGTGACACGCGAACTCATTTTTTTGGTTGATTTTTCTTTGTTAAATGGCATTTAAATATATAAAATAAATATCAAAAATATAAGTCTTTGTTTTACTATGGTTGCAAATATCAAAAAATTTCTATATGTGACACGGCACCAGTTGAGTTAGGGTTTTTCAAAATGCTGACAACACTGAGCTCAAAAGGTTTGCCATCACTGTCCTAGAGAGATGGTCCCTTCTACCTTCTGTGTCAGAAAATAGGAAAGACCATGGGGCACATCTTGTTGGCCCAGATACTCTGAGGATACCCAGATATTCAATGTTGTGCTCAGGGAAATAGCAAACGGGAGGAAAAAGGACAAAGTAGACTTGGAAACCCAAAGAGTCAACTCGAAGAACAGAGTCTATGATCAGTAAGCAAAATAACACAAAGCAAAAGATCATAAACACGTAGGTAAAATCAAGAATCTGGCCCCCAGACCTAACCGGTTTGGCTCAGTAAGAATCTGGCCCCCAAGTTCCTGGACTGAGAAGCTCAGCTTTCATGCACTCTTGTTGCTGGTACTCAGTACTCACACTAACATCGTGTTCCAGCTCGGCCAGCAGGTCAAACTGGTGTCTCTTGGTGCCTATCATTTCTGCAGGAACACTAGACCACACCTAGGATGGAACAGAGTGCAGAAGATATTTGCAAACATGTAATAGAAGATCATGTCTAATACATTGAAGAACTCTCGACTAACCAACGTCCACTGAACATACTTGCCCCAACTATGGAAGCTGCCTAATGCTTCTGTTTCCTCTCCCTCAGCGCCCTTATTCCGCCATTCTGTGCTTACCAAGAGGCGGCTGGACCTGTGTCTATTTCCATCCCTTGCACTTGCTGTCAGAAATATGTAATTTAAGCATTGTTTGAACTAAGGAAATACTAGTGCATAAGTGTAGTGTCTATTAATGTCTTGAGAAGACAAAAAGGCAAGGCACTAAATTGCATCAGGTGTAAGCAAGAAACTTATCTACAAGAATGGGAGGAAAATATTGAAAAAATTTGAAGGAATTCTAACGGTTTTAGGTTTTTGCTTTCTTTTAACACAAATGCAGATTGGAAACCAAAGATGATGAGTACTGGTCTGGTATTCATATATGGTCCTACCTCAGCAGGATAGTGAATAAATGTGCATTTGTATGTTTTAAGTTTAATAAAATGCATTATCTCTCAATGATTCCCCACTTTCACTTTACATTTTCTATTTAACTGATCAATTGCTAGTCCCAATTGTGTTAGATAAAAGGCGCTGCATTTCTCCCAACGCCCAGTGGAACACACAGCAGAAAAATCATGAAAAGTTCCTATTGAAAAGTGTACATGTTAAAAAAAAAAAGCAGTAATATTCAATATCCTTATATATCACTTACATGCTTTGTGAAAAATACTGAATTGAACACGTTAACAGTTGAACGGTTTATATTTTTATTATCCAAACATTGTAAGTTAGAAATTATATATAAACCTTCACGGTAGAATCCCACGATGCAGAATACAGCCTGTTGTCATGCCAACAGATCTTGCTAACAGCATCATCATGTCCCATTAATGTGCCTTGGCTCCTTCCAAATGCTATAGAATAAAAATAGCTAACATAAAAGATAACGAGAACTATTAAAACAGCATTCAACTTAATTTTAAGCCTCTTAAACACATATTCAAGAAACATTATGTTGTTTTATACTTACTAAGGCCCACTAGAATTACAAATTACTTGTTCTCATATAAAAATACTGAAAATTTTAATTTAAAACTAGAAATTTCCAGGTCTAGCTCTTAATATGATTTCACCTCAATTTAAAACAGAAATAGAGTCCAATTGGGAGAAATATTAGACTCAAATAATTATGTTCAAATCCAACAGTTTCATCCTCATCCAATATGTGTTCCTTTTTAAAAACAACAGTGTCCTGCCAATGGGGGACTCGTTTGCTGCTTGGTGTCCCAGAGGCAGTTACATGTGAGTGGAATGACAAAGAAGCATGCACAGATACATACACATTATTATCCCATGAGGAACTTATGACAGTGTCATCTCCTGGTAAAAGTAAACAAGACGATAACGCCTGAAATACAAATGATTCGGCATTAATAATTACAGTAATTAGTAAGTCCCCAACATGGCAAAACCACCATACAAGAGTCCCCCAAAATTAATGCTCGGATTCTGTTTGTTAGCCTTTTGAAATAGACAAAGTTTTTTTCAACTGGCTAATTCCAGATGCCATGTTTCCTCCCAAGGCAGGGAAGTCTGTGTGTCAAGCGCGGGAGGACTTGCCTAATGCTCAGGGCTCTGCACGGCCCCGGAGCACTGGAGGGACCCTTCTGCGGTGGGAAATCACGGGGGAGGGTGGCCTGGGGACTGTCAAGAATGCGAACACCCTCTCAGGATTACAGATTCATGTGCGTAAGGAAAACTCCCAAAATTCTTCAGGGAATTTCAAAATCTTTCAGGTGACTGACATTAACAGTAAAACACTTTCAGAATCACTGGGGTTCTAGTATTAGGTATCCCACCAACTCAGAAATGCATTAAGTTATTTTAGTAGCACATACACATTCATCTGACCGTTCCAAAACAGGAATGATTTATTAAGAATTCTGCTGGGTAACAGTTCAAGTTGTTTAGGCTACCAATGAAATCACATTATTATGAGAAAGAGGCAACTTGAAAAAAAATGTAAATTGAGAAGTAATCTAAGGCATTCTGTCAATATCACACAGGAATCAACAATTGTTTGGGGGGGAAACAATGTCACTACACGAGTGTGTATAAAACAAAGTGCTACATGGATTTCTAGCATGACTGGAAATGAAAATGAACTCACCATATCTGAAAATGATATACTTCTTTGTAGCATTTTGGATTCTGTAGAAAACATTTTCAAGGTGTTATCTAATAAGGAAAAGAAACAGGTAAGAAGGACTTCCTGCCTCTTACAGATGACAACAATGCTGCCTTCCTCTTCCGGAGGCTCCTCCCCAGCAAGCAGGTGGGGAACGTGCTCTTTCTGCCCTTCCCCTTAAAGTTTGGGAAACCTCAGCCACAGAAAGGCATTCTTCATGACCTTTTGGCAAACCACAATGACACTGTATGTACTGTGCCACAAATTGCTCCGAGTTTATTTTATGTGGGGGCAGCACATGCAAGTACAATCAGTCCTTGACCTGAAAGTCATGAAGCTTGGACACTACGATCCTCGGAAAGCCATTTTTCAGGTGGGAAAACATACCTTGTGATGTCGTAAAGACTGATGAGCCATTGCAAGAGACCGCTATTCCAGTAACCGCCCTGTTCAAAAACAAAGTTTTAAGAATGGCCTCAATCATGCACAAGGACACTGTTCTCCTTCAAGCCCTTGGTTTAATTTTACCTAGTTTCTGTGATTTTTTTCTTCACAGCTTGCCTGCTGCATCTGTCCCACCTGATACCTGCCCTTACCAAAGCATCACTAGGCAACTTCTAATTTTGTTCTGGCAGGACTTATGGCTGGAAAACATTCCCACTCTTAGCTTCCTGAGCTGCCACATTCAAAATGTAACACATTTCTGACAGCTGAAAAACTGCTTCTTCAATTCCCTTTTATTTGAACATCACCCAAGGACTGAAACTCTTATTTAAAATCAGTTCTTTTGCTTGATCACTGAATTGAATTTACCAGCGTCTGCACAGTGATGAGACCACTGTCCAGACAGAACTAGTCTAGCACATCCTGTTAAAGGTTCACTCGTGTCTTCACTGCCTTGGATTCATGCCATTTAGAGAGGTTGAGAAAAGGCCACTGTTACAATGGATAAGGAACTGTATTCTTTTTAGGAGGCTGCACTCTGATTTTAAACCACTAATCTAAAGTAAGCTGGCATGTTTCACCCATGTGATTTCAAAATGCCAGGATGTCTATGGTGGAGGAGCAGGACACTGAGCCTGGTCTGGGTCTGTGTTGGTTTTTTTCATCTGTAACAGGATGGATCAGGTGACTTCAGTGCCTCTCAAGTCTTTCTACCAAAGTATAAAAATATCCTTAATAGCGGAAGACAGGGAACACTTGTAACCCCTCCAGGTCCAGCAGGAAGCCCAATGTCTTGGAAGTACAGGCATTATTTTTAAAATTCTAGGTGGACCAACTATAGAAATGAGAACATGGGAGGCCAACACAAATCCATTTTGTTCCAAAAGTTCCCTTGCCACATTGACATCAGGTGGCTGATCACTATAAACACTGGAAGGAGATAAAAAAAACAAACAAACACAAGATGACATTGAAAGAGAACTTCCCCCTTGATTCAGCTTAATTTTTTTTAAAAATATATATTTTTTATTGATTTCAGAGAGGAAGATAGAAACATCAATGATGAGAGAGAAACATCAATAAGCTGCCTTCTGCACACCTCCTACTGGGGATTGAGCCTGCAACCCAGGCATGTGCCCTGGCCAGGAATTGAACTATGACCTCCTGGTTTATAGGTCAACGCTCAACCAAGGAGCTACACCGACCTGGTTTAAAACAATTTCACCCCAGGCCAAGACGCCAACTTCTGCGAGGACAACACAGACATTCTTACTCTTTGTGGAGTTTATGTTGCTCGTGCAACTGCAGTTTGGCTATGTTATTCCAGGCCAGTTTTTTGCTTTCTTCAGTCAGGTCCTCAAAAGACTCTTCCCCTGGAGAAGCACATTAGATTATTGCCAAGTGAGTCAACTCCATCACTAACAAGCATCACAGATAACACGTATCCGAGTCACAGTGTCTTCTATTAAAATAAAACAACCAAGAAAACGAAATAGCCCACCAAAATGTAATAGCTTTGAAATGTGTTGGATAGCTCCGTGTTAGTTAAGGAAAAATAATAAAGTATATAGTAGAAATAAAGTAAAAACCATTTGGAGAAAGATTAAAAAGTATATTTAAAAACTAGAGTATTTTGTTACTTTTATCAATGTTTGCCCCTAATTTAAGAATTTCAGGAAATAGAAGCCCGAATAACCATTTTCTTGTCAATAATATTTGCAAACATCAGAGGGTTCACTAAGAATGCTGCAGTTGTTTTCGTTTAGCAGGGGAGAAAGCAGAGATGAAAGCAGTGACTCCAAGTGCTCCTGGACAGGACTAAGTAATCCTTCACTTCTGTTTTTAGTAGGGATGGGACAATTACCCTTTAAAATAATCACAAGACAGTGATGTGAGCCGGGTGAGTAAGCAGAGCACGGGTTTAAGAGGCGTCACAAGATAATCCTATGATCTTTATGACTTAACACTATGGGGTTATCGCCTTGAGACATACTCTCAGCCAGCCCTGGGTCACGTGACTCTAGTGAGCTATTCCTCCACAGCTGAGAGCATGCTCAGCAGTGTGTGCCTATAAAGTCTGAATGTGCCTGGAACAGAGAGCAGAAGTGCAGATAAGTGATTTTGCTCCCAAAGTTCCATGTAGTGTAAAAATCCTGAGAGCCAGGAGGTTGGAGGCTGTTTTAGGTGAAACATAAAACACTAAAACAAGGGTAACTAGATGAAAGTGTGGGAACATTCCACCTTTTCCAAATACGACATGTGAGGACAGTGTCAAGTTCATCTTAGCACCTGGCATATGCCTGGCACAGAACAGATACTTAGCAAGTGTTTGTCAATTGCTTGAATAATACAATCAAATAAAGACAGCGGAGCACCTTGAATTCAAGGTCTGTAAGCTGGGGATGGAGAGGAGAATGAGATGGTGGAAGTAATTTTGGGGAAAGAGTAGGGCGGAGGGTGACAGTTAAAGCAGCCGTGGCCGGGGTGTATCAACAGAAAGGGAAAAGCACAGAGAAGAAACGGAACCATAACAATCGCAATAAAAATCCTGCCCGGTTTCAATGACCAGAAAACAGAAGTACCTTGTCTTTAAAGTGAATAGTTAACAACAAACAAAACACCAACAAAAACAGGTGGCTGGGTTTGTTTTTTGTTTTTGTTTTGTTGTTTTTTTTCAGGAGAACCGCAATAAGATGGTAAAGATATTATCTCTAAACATCACAACATTCGTGTTTCCTCTTCAGAATCATCAGAAACGTCTTAAAGAAAAACGAAAGGTGCTCACATTTATTCTCTTTGCAAAATTTACCTGGAGAATCTGCTATGGAAACGCTATCACAGGAGGTTTGGGGCAAACTTTTGAACTTTTCGGTGATCCTTTGAGGATGTGGTGTCACAAAGAGCTGTTTTGGTGTCTGCCCAAATTCCAAGATTTGGGTCAGCATGGCTACTTTCTCATCCGGATCCTCGATGCTTTAGGACAGAACACAAATACTGCCGTGAGCCCCTAGGATTTCCATCTCCTGAAAGCACACATTTCAGATGGTACAGATCAACCAGAGAGAGTTTCAAACACCTACTGTGTGTCAGGATTGTCTAAACCTTAGCACAGATTTTAAAAAATTTTTCTGAGGCTCAGTAACTCACATAATAGTAAAAGCAAGATACAATTCACTGTAAATTTTCCATATCTTAACATTATCAAATAAGCGCATCAACCATTTAGTTAGAGAGGTATTTTGTTCAAGTCGAAGCTCCTTATAGACATAAGTACCTGTTCAAGTCCACACCTCCTTCATAGGTCAGGGGATGAAATACTGGAAGGAGAGAAATAAAACACCATTGAGAGATGTACTGGTGAGTTACACACTCTGTTCAAAATTTTAAAACCCAGTGACAACTTTAAACTTGTATTCAAAGTAACTGATGGTTCACTCTGCAAAAAAGACAAGTAAGATCCAACTTTTCAGTAAATATCAACTTGAATTATCCTTTGCTGAGCAGAAATCTCACTGGCAGGTCAGAGGAAATACACCTCAGTGTATTTCTCAGTCAGCTTATCTTCCCCTGGGGGGAAGCAGGTCACTCAGCCCTCTGCTCTGGCTGTGAGAAATCAGGCCTGAATTTCCAGCTCCACTTCCTTGTCATCAACCCTGAGAAACCTGGAGGCAGGTGAGAACCGAGACCGATGAGGAGGTATGTTACTGCTGGTTTCTTCCAGCTCAATTCAAAGGAAACTCTGGCCCTTCATAGCAACTGAGGTCGCTGTTCCATCATGTTCTGATTGAGTTTTAATTGAAATTATTGAATGGGATAGCGAGTACTTGCTAAAATTAGAAGACTTTAGAACAAGACCTCTTGGGATCATGCTGAAATAGATGTTCTTTAGGCAAAAGGACTTCCTCCTCCCTCACTTAGTATCTAACCCAGGGTCGCTGAGCCAGGAGGCACTGTTTGCTGATAGAAGTTTCTGCTGAAGGAATAAGCGTGACTCTGCCCTCATTTTGTTGTTTGTTTCATTTTCATCGAACACTAATGAACTTTCAGTGACCGTGACATACCATTATGGGCCCCAACAGCCTCGCTTCCTTTTTGCTTGTAGCCAAACACGAGGTCAATCCACTCGTGAAGGTGCTCGGACACATAATTGCTTTCCAGTGCCTCTCTGCTCTTCTGGAGAAAGTCCGCGGGACCTGGCAGATCAGACTCCATCAAAACACGGCAGCGTCCACTTTACTTTCTCTCATTTCTGTCCTCTACCCACAGGCACATAAAGCTTCTCGGATAGGCAGGAGGCACATATTTCTTAATGACATTTTGTCCCCATCATGTAAAATATAAATTTTGTGGCGAGAAAAAGTGGCGAAATCATTTTCCCAACATTTAGGTTTCTCAAAAATGTGTCAATATTTTTACAGCCTAGATTCATAGAATATTTTTTTATTTGGAATAGGACTGGTATTGCCTCATTTAGGTAGAGAACGACACTGTTATTTTTCTTAAAATCTAGGCAACTAAGTAATTAATCACACTGAAACTGCACTGTCAGGGAAGGGCTTTCTACAATGGCACACTGCTGAGGTACTCACTCCGTGCCCACGGCGGAAGTTCCACGTCATCCACCATCTGCCCTCCTTGTCTCTTCCCCAAATCCAACTTCAGACTATTGACTAAGAAGCTGACATCATCACCATAGAATTCTGGAATCAACTGAAGGTGCCAGGTGAAAAACAAAAAAAGAACAGCAACAACATTTTTTAAAGCAGTTAGAAAACACCGGCCCCATGAATCATTAACTTCTTAAACCGCTTACCTCTTTAAAATCTGTGGCACCATCCAAACAATTTTTCCAAGTTTCTGCAATACTAAATATAAAAAAAAAAAATTAAACTGACTTTAACTCAGGGGTGTAGAAATAGCAACCACAGAGCTTTCTCTGCACCTAGGTGTTGTTCTACACTTTACCTATACTAACTCATTCTCTCGTTAACGCAATCCCCCTTTTACAGAAGAGAACAATTCCCCAGCTCACATGGGAGACATGGGAGTGAGCAGGGAGTCAGAACAAGGCCCAGATGGCATGTCTCAAAGGCCATGCCAGGAGCCTCTGCACCCATATTGCCTCACTGAAGGGCCAATGGAGGCAGGTGCTTAACCACTAGAAAATTAGCACAACTATGTTAACAGCTCATCTCAAAAAGGAATGATAAACAAACGTGTAGAGCTTAAACAAAGATTGGAAAGACACAGACCAAAGACGAATAATGAAAGTTCTCTGTGCGGACGGATGCCAACTGAACTTTATTTTCCTCTTTATATTTTCTGATTTTTTTTTGTAAAGAAGTATTACTTTTATAATTTAAAAAAAGTTATTTACAGACCCACAGGGAACTGTATTCAACTCATAGCAAAATTATCAACCTATGAACCAGGAGGTCATGATTCGATTCCCGGTCAGGGCACATGCCCAGGTTGTGGGCTTGATCGCCAGTGTGGGGTGTACGGGAGGCAGCTGATCAATGATTGTCTCTCTTCATTGATGTTTCTATCTCTCTCTCCCTCTCCCTTCCTTTCTGAAATCAATGAAAATATATTTTAAAAAATTATTTAGAATAATGAAATAATGTTGGAAACACTCCAAATGTCCAATAATAGAGAAACAGTTAAAATATATTCTGGCATACATTAGAATGTGATATAATATTTAAAAAAATGAGACGTTTTAAAAAACTTCTAGTAACATGGGGATAACTTCAGGATCTAATATGGATACAAAAAGTGGGACAAAAACTACTTAAAATATGTTCTCACATTTATATGTGTCACACACACAACTAGAAAAAGCCTGAAAGGAACAGATATAACAATTAGTGATTTTTTGCATATCTTTATATTTTTGGCCCTATATACTAGTTTTTTTAAAACAAACATATTGTGCACATATATAATTAGGAAGATTAAAAAATGGTAGGTGAGGCAATTATGTCAAACCTGTTGAACATTCTATCTGCATTATCAAATCTTCCATTCTGTAGGCACAGCATATACTCTGGTGCTGGAGGGGGGAAATCGGAGGTAATGAGATACAGAATCACTGAAGAGTCCCCGTGAAATAACATTGACTGGGGGTAATGATAAAGAACCTTACCAATCCTGACAAGATAAAACAGCACGTAACCTGGGGAAGAGTAGTGACTGCCATACATGAACTTTGGCTCTAGCATCTCCTGGTAGCGTTCCTATAATATGTGAGAAAAAAAGACTTCTAAGTGGTGGCTATGAAAATAACAAGTGACTCATGTAGTAAAAACCTAAAAGAAGTCATGGCATGAGTACATTATACTCCTTAATTTCTTTCTTAAAATAGGAAAAGGAAAGATAAAAAGAGGGTGGAAATCTGAACAAATACAGCATTCCTGTGACAAGTATTTTGGTTTTCTTGGCGCAGTGGTGACGATATTGGGACTGGATTGAATGGAAGATGGAAGGGATTTTATGTGTCTCTTGTGCAATTTACCAGAGAGAACCCTCCATGAAAGTAAGTTATACACTGGTAATCAGGTCAGCCTCCTACTTCCTGAATTGTAGGCAAAAAAATGCAAATGGTGAGCAGCTATATTCATTGGGGAAGGCAGCAGGCAGAGAGGCAGGAGTAAGACAAAAAAACAAAACATGATCACTCTGGACAATGTTTGCCCTAAGCCTTGATGAAATGAGTTTCAGTTACTATAAAAATATAGGCCATGGTTCAGGAAGTTCCTCATAGACCAAGAATCCTTAAGTCCACGCACCAGTAGTCTCTCCAGTCGCTCCTTATTTAGGGCCCCTACTGGTTTCCCAAGATCCCGGAAGGTTCCTGGGTTTGACAAATCTACATAAGTAAATAAATTTTAAAAAATTAATTAATTAGAATAAAGCAAGCAAACCTATACTTAATAACATTACCTCCATGGACTGATTCACATGCACACATTTCCACAAAATAAACAGTTTTAAAAAACTGAGACAGATCCATTAGAATTACAGTATTTCTGGCAGTTACTTATATAGCTGTAAAGGTGAGAACTTTTGAGTTTTAATTTAGCAACATCCATTCAAGGGTGATTCCCAATTTGAAAACATCATAAATATAGATTTTTTTTTTTTTAAAAAAAGGCCTACTGAAACAAGCTATATTCCAAGTAAAACAAAAAATAAATAAAAAATAAAAACAAAGTTTAAAAGCCCATTATTCTTCTACTAAGATTTACTTTGTAAGTTTGAATTACAAGCATAATTTGAGAACTGGAGACCTGAATATTATCAGAGAAATAAATTACCATATTCCTAGAAAATCTGTTATCTCTTTCAAGTACAGAGTTCAATAAGTGAACTGTCCAAAGGAATTTATTGTTCGCAATATATAATTTTTAAATATTAAAAAATAAAATCACAATACAATCACTATTTTTGTTAAAATAATTTGAGAGAAGTACATATACCACAAAATTAAAATGGCTACCTCTCAGTAATGTAATAATTGATGATTTTTATTTCCTTTAAAAAATATTTTAGTACATTCTAAATGTCATATAATGAATAGTTATTAGTTTGGTAATCACATTTTAATGTAAATTTTAAAATAGGATAATCTGAGACAATTTTCAAAGTGAAAAACTACAGTATTTCAAAACTTGGTATTTGTAGATAGTAATGATAATATGGCTTAAAATTATATGCATATGGGGTGGGGGGTGGCCAGGGAGAGGTCAATGGGGGAAAAGGGAGACCTATGTAATACTATATGTAATACTTTAAACAATAAAGAATTTTAAAAATTATATGCATATTTTCTGGGCATGTCCTTTAAGAATATGTGAATACTATTTTTTGGATTAAGAAAATTAAGAGACAGTGGAGAAAACATAAAAAACACATATAATTTATATTAACATTGAAATGACAACTAGCAATCTTTAGTAATAAAGTTAAAATGGGTTCTAATCTATTCAAAGATCACATCATAAGTCTACAACAGAATATTTTTCTCTCCTTTAAGAAGTAACTTTGAGGCATTTACCCAATTCTGAGCTGCAATAATCACTGATGATCCACGGGAACACCGGGTACTGCGACAGGTCGTTGCAGCTGCGGTCGGCCAGGTTGTTGAGGTGCAGCAGGTACTGGTAGTTGGAGAGGTGCCCGCGCTGCCACTGCAGCGTGTAGCTCTCGGCCGTGCGCTCTGCCACGTGGTGCTCTGAGGAGGACAGGCCGCAAGGTCACCACTGAACTTGGCAGATGTTGGCTAAGCATGTAAACACTAGCTACTTTAAGTGTAGTCTTTTCAATGCATTTATAAAAAAATGCATTTTAAGAAAAATAAAAGTAGGGTACAGTTTGTTTTCGCTATAGATCTCAGAAATGGCTTCACTGTACACCAGAAGAGCAAACGAAATTAAGATGGTATTAATAAAATCCCAACATCTATTTTTAGAAATCATTCTATTCTAGTCATCTAGCAACTTTGTAAACAAGAATAATTACAGTCAGCCATGCAAATTAATATATTTACGCATGAAAAGAAAAATACAGGTGTTCCCTCTAACAAGGGTGGGAAAATGTACAATTCCCATGCAAGACTGAGAAAATATTAATTAAAAGCAAATTCAATCCCACAGGTACTATATTGAGCCTCGAGGTTCACGTGTTTCTTTTGTGTTGTTTTCTAGGTTCGGGATTAAGGCCACAATTAATGAACACAAACATATGACTGGAGAGTTCACTGCCTCACATTAAGGAACTGAATCGTGGTTTTCATAAACTAATATAAGACATGACTGGACATAGAAATAATTAAGTGGAGTCTTTATAATCCATTCAATTTGTGTGTTGTTAAAATCCAAAAAAATTTAAATATTTTTATTAAGTTTTTAAAACACACAATGAACTATTACCAAAATTCAGTTATGTTTCCCTTAGTTTTTTAAAATGCCATCTTGCCAACTGTAGTTACTATGGAGAAGCAATGGGTAGAACTACAGAGAGGCGATTCTAGATCCAGCATTTTTCTTTTTCCTTCTCTTATTTCCTATCCTGGTTACTTAGGAGTTGAACTACCTTCATACAAATAGAACAAGGAGGGGTGAACACCAGACCTAGATACGTGGCAATATAAAAATAGAGTTCATCTCTATCTTGAGGGTCATAGAACTTTAGGTAGATGTCAGAACACAGGTCATCTTCTGTGCAAAACACTTCCAATCCCTATAAATTCAGAAAGAAAAGAATAAAACAAGTAGCATTTCATTAATCTTACAATTGCAATATAAGCTATACAATCACAAAAGCCTTCCAATTAAACATCTACCTTTTTAACTTGTAGCTCTTGTATTCATTCTCCAGCTTTAAATTTGATTCAGCGATGCATATACATATAAATTTCCTGAGAACAAGACTTGTATCTTTAAATTTTGTAAAATCCCTTTTAGTGTTGATTATTTTTATTGATAATACCTTTTGTGAAGTTAGTATTTTGAAATTCAAAATTGGCTTATCCATGTCTTCACACATCTTCAAATATAAATGTTTAGCTTTCTATTATAATTAAATTATTATGCCAATCTAACAAACTGATAATTGAATAGCTATTCAACTAATAACTTGCAGTTATTTTCTTAAATATGTTTTTATTGATTTTGGAGACAGAAGAAAGAAGAGGGAGAGGAAGAGAGAAACACTGATGAGAGACTGCATCCTGCACGTGCCCTACTGGGAATTGAGTCAGCAACCAGGCATGTGCCCTTACTGGGAACAGAACAGGCAGGACGATGCCCACCCAACTGAGCCACACCGGGCAGGGCCACTTGCAGTTATTCTTAAGAAAACTATGAGCTTTGTGAATGTTGTATTGATAAGCCTGAGATAGGACAGGAATAGACAAAGAAATGACAAAAGCAGACTTGTTCATGGTTTAAATACAGGCTTTTATCATTTACTAGTTAAGGAACAGAGGAAATTAACTCTTAGAATCTCAATTTCTTTATAAAATAGAATATCATCTACCTCACATGGACTGTCATGATAATAAAATATTGTACCTAAATTGCCCAGTACACAGAAGACACTTAATGTCAACTTCTACTCTTTTTCTGACTGTGTCTTTATACCCACAGGAGGAGATTTTCAATAGTATGCGTCCATAATTCTCTATTAGCACTAGAAATGAAGAGTATCCTTTTAAGTTAAATAGGTAGAAAAGGCAAATTTCACAAATATGAAACAAAAATGAGGTGCCTAACATTCAACAGTGCTTTGGTAATGCTACCTACCAGGTGACTGGTTAATCTTCAAAGGAGAACAAATGAATTTATACTGATGTCAAATTAAAACACCCTGGAATCACGCCTTATGTGGAGATTGGTTTCCAAGGTCAGCATGTAAGACTAACATAAGTATGGACATACGCCTCCCTAGGGGAATGGTAGGAAGAACTGCCCAAATGATTTAATCGGTTATTTTGTTCATTTCTCTCCCTTCCAAACTGAAGGCTGAATTACTCTAAGCTAACCGAAGACACTACAGATCACTGAAGAGTTAATTTTATACTAGCTTCCAAATTTTACTCTGAGATCTAGCTGCTATGAGCAGATGGTGCAAGTCACACTGGATTGCTCTGCATAGATTATCCCTGCATAACCCCAGGAACTCTGAGTATACAGAAGTGAGGAACTCAAGGCAGCACACCCTATCTCTCTTGCTCTTAGAGCCAAAAACATTCCTCATGGCAGCCTTCTTGTGCAGAGAAAGGGGTTATTCCTTTATAAATTTCTAGCTCATCCAAAAGAAAGAGCAGCATGACCAAGAGTCCACTTGCTTACAATACAGCATACTTACACTTCTCAGACAGGCCACAGGTGTTTATACATTAACTAGAGGTCCGGTGCACAAATTCATGCACAGGTGGCATCACTCGGCCTGGCCAGTGATTGGGGCCTATCGGGGCTGGCCAGCCAGGGGGAGGGACTGTGGGAGGTTGGCTGGCCGCAGGAGGTTGGCCATCGGAGTTCACTGACCACCAGGGGGCAGCTCCGGCATTGAGCATCTGCCCAATGTATTATTATACATTAATAATTCACTGGTTAAACTGAAACTAGGACAATCATTCACCTAAAACTGACATTCCACTTGAACTCACCAAAGGCATGAGGCCATGCCTCCTTTTGTAAATGCGGCAGACGTCCTGGAGTGTGATCTGGACCACAGGTTTCTGTAAAAGTAAAAAGACTATCTCAAAGGTCAACATTCTGACACAATTAGAAGTTGACCAAATGACCAAGTCTTGCCTTCCTGATGTGTTACAAGATGAACAACTGGAAAGGGAGATCTTAAATGAGGTGTATCTGGTTTAACACTCTAGCCTGCCCTTTTTTGCTTTGTGACCTTGGACAAGTCTCCCTACCTCCATTCGGCACCACAAATATGGTAATGCGTCCATCTTTCAGGTTATCGCAAGGTAGTTAAGTGTTATAAAATGTTAAAGGATTGGTCTAGAGCAGGGATGGGCAAAGTTTTTGACTCGAGGGCCACAATGGGTTCTTAAACTGGACCGGAGGGCCAGAACAAAAGCATGGATGGAGTGTTTGTGTGAACTAATATAAATTCAAAGTAAACATCATTACATAAAAGGGTACGGTCTTTTTTTTTTTTAGTTTTATTCATTTCAAACAGGCTGGATCTGGCCCACGGGCCATAGTTTGCCCACGGCTGGTCTAGAGCCTGGCCGGTGTGGCTCAGTGGTTGAGCATCCACCCATGAACCAAGAGGTCACTAGTTCGATTCCCAGTCAGAACACATGCCTGGGTTGTGGGCTCGATCCCCAGGAGGGGGTGTGCAGGAGGCAGCCAACTGATGATGTTTTTCTCTCATCAATATTTCTCTCTATCCTTCTCCCTTCCTCTCTCTCTAAAAATCAATGAAAACATTTTTTAAAAGAAGGATTGGTTATAGATAACCTCTCAGGAATTTTGCTATTCTTTTATAGAGCAATGGTTTCCTTAGTCCTCACTCATTTTAGAATCTTGTTTTTTGTCTCCTTAAAAACTATAGTGTATTAAGGCTCACAAACAATTATAGTATAAAGCAGGGCTTCAAAACTTTTTCTTTCATAAGGAGGGTAATTTTCTCACTTCTTTAAAACCTTAAAATGCTAGTAAGAGATGAATGAGGTAAGAAAAGGCAATGAGGTTGGCTAAAAGCTGACAAGTTTATTTTCCTATTTCTGAGTGGAAGGGATCAATGCTCATACTATGAATCCTGAAGCTATGGCACATACTCATATTTTTCCAAAAGTTTTTGACCTTGAGCTATGGTAACAGTAGTGGGTAAGCCAATTTTATTACATGGCTAGAGAATGCCCATCAGCAATGAGTACTGCTTCTATTGGAGGGTTTGGCAAGCGTGCCCCACCACCTGGTGGACAGAATTATTACAGCATTATCTTTCACTTAGAAAAGTATTAGAAGTTTTAGTGCCATATAATGACTGACCAGCAGGAGTATTTCCACGGTATAGCCCAGGGGTGGGCAAACTTTTTGACTCGAGGGCCACAATGGGTTCTTAAACTGGACCGGAGGGCCGGAACAAAAGCATGGATGGAGTGTTTGTGTGAACTAATATAAATTCAAAGTAAACATCATTACATAAAAGGGTACATTTTTTTTTTTTTTTTTAGTTTTATTCATTTCAAACGGGCCGGATCTGGCCCGCGGGCCATAGTTTGCCCACGGCTGGTATAGCCTGTGGCAGGAGACACTCCTGTTCTTTAAACTTCCCTGCTAAATGGTCCAATGGCACCATTAGAGCATATTAGGATTTCTGTTCCTTCAGTGAGCCACTCCCAAAAGGGGCTAGATCTAGATAAAGCAGCCCGTCTCTATAACATATAGCGTGGAGATCTGAATTATTTTCGCTTATCGGCCTAGGATGTCTAACGTCACTGTGAAAGGGAGACTAGTTCCACCGCCACAGAGGCGCCCTGCAGCTGCCCCCTGAGCATCGCTGCGTGCACCTGCTCTGGCGGGGCCAGGACCACTCCCCACTGCCTTTTTGGGAAAGATTCAGATTTCCTGACTTGGTAATAAAGGAAAAATAAGAAGTACCAACACAGGCATATACGTAAGCAGATATACAGAAAACATTCATTCCTTCTTAATCTTAATGTATTGCATTTGTCTCTTGCAGAAGTGCCTCCGAGTAGAAAGGTAGAATGCTCTCATGACCCTCTATTAGAGTCGGGAGGAGCAGGGTTTCTTTTCACAGCACTGAGAGCAAGTGACCCCGAAAGGAAAACAGATCAGAAGAGCTCACACTCAGATTCCTCAGGATTCCACAGGGAGCCTGTGACAGAGACAGGCGATGGAGGGGCCGGGAGGTCATTCTGATCCTCACCAAAATGCGAGAACACTGAGATGGTGAAGTCAAGTTCACAGGAAAGAGCGGAAGGTGAAGGGCCCCGTGCTAACGGGGTCTCCACCTGCACTGCAGTCGTCACGTACCGGGTACCCATTGAGGGGCTGAAAATACAGGGTGGTGTCAGTGATGCACACATGTCCGGGGTTTGTCACCAGAGGGGTCACCATTTCTGCTTTGCATTCCATGTGCAGCTTTTCAGAAACACTTTGGAACCTGATAATTTCAGCAAAAGCAAAAAAAAAAAAAAAAAAGGGAATCAGAAATCGATCTACTTTCTAGATTTAACTTTACCTAAGAGAGTTACAGTGTGACTTTGCATAAGATTTGTCTAAATACTGACTTTCTACAACATAAATGGTAATATAAATCAGTACTGCTTCTACTGGAGGGTTTGGTGAGCATCACAAAAATCGGTCACAAATAAAACTGACATTCTTTTAAATGGTATAATGAAAATTCAATTTTTAAAAAACAGGTGAGGTTATGTACTGCAGAAGGAAAGACAGACAAGTAAATGAAGCCAAATAACCCACTAGCTTAAAATAAACTGATGTAGAAACTACTCTTAAATTAACAACATTTTCTATTTTTTCTGTCATTAAGGCCTACTTTCATAGTCATATAGGCCATTTTTGCATAGGTAGCATTTATTTCACACTACACTTCATAAGACTATGAATACACAATTACAATAACGTGAATGTCAGTTCCAAAGTCCAGCTGACCCATGATCAACACAGTTTGAACTACAAGGATCCACTTACCTAATGATTTTTTTCAATAAATACTGTAAATGTATTTTCTCTTCCTTATGATTTTCTTCATAACACTTTCTTTTCTCTAGCTTACTTTATTGTGTAGTATATAATACATATAACGTACAAAATATGCATTGATCGACTTTATGTGATCAGTAAGGCTTTGGGTCAACAGTAGCTATGAGTAGTTAAGTTTTGACTATGCGGGGGTTGTCACCTCTAACTCCCACGTTGTTAAGGGTCAACTGTACATTCTTTTGTGGATTTACTACAGTAAAACTGATCAAATAAAGATGATTTCTCGACTAGCCCACTGTAAATTATTTAGACAAACAGAGAATAGGTTAGTATTAAAGTATAACTGTTTTCAGAAAATACACTGTACACTTAGAAAAGCTAAGAAAATCAATAATAATTTAAAAAACCCACATTAGACCAATAAAAATGTAGTCTCTTGGGCCCCATAGGATACCTCCGGAAGGTACCTATCACAATTTGAAGGGCCAAGAAAGACTTTCTGGAAGCACTGACAGATAAGCTGAAATGAGAAGAATCAGAAAGAGTTAGCCAGGTGCAAAAGAGTTGAGTACTCTTAGCGGAGGGAAGACGCACTAAGTCCCGGAGGTGAGAGGCCATGTGGCTCATCAGGGACTGCATGCAACGCAGAGCTGGAGCATGGAATCCAAGAGCAAGCAGTGACGAAGTTGTGAACAAGGACTAGAACATAAGTGGACTGTGCGCCAACTAAGATTTTACCCTGAAGGCAATGGGCAGTCTTGAAGAGTTTAAACAAACCAGTGATACAATTAAGTACATTCTTTAGAAATAACATATATTCTATTTATTTATTTAACTTATTATTTTTTCTTAATTGTCACCCAAGGACATTTTTCCATGGATATTTAGAGACTGGAGGGAAGGAAGAGAGACAGAAAGAAACATCGATGGAAGAGAGGTGCATCATCAATTGGTTGCTGCCCCAAGTGGCCTGCAACCGAGGCACATGCCCTTGACCAGAATCAAACCTGAGACACTTCAGTCCTGGGCTGATGCTCTAGCCACTGAGCAAAACCGGCTGGGGCAGAAGAACATATTTTAAAAGTACAATAGTTACGGTGGAAAAAAGGGGATTGGAGAAGGGAAGACTGGTGTCAGGTAGACAGGCTAGAAGCTGTCACAGTGTTCGGAGTGGGAAGTGATGGTGGCCTGGCCTGAGGCAATAACAGTGGGAAAAGACAAGCTGACAGACAGGAAGGATGTTAGAGAGCCTCACCTACTGTCCTGACTGACAGGTGCCAGGATGGAGAGAGTGGAGGAAGCCCCTGCCCCGGCTCCTGCACTGAGGTGGGGCCATTCCCTCAGAGAAGCAGGTAAGGGGTGAGGAGGATGACAGCATCAGTGTGGCCATGCTGAGCGAGGCAAACAGATGAAGATGTCCACTGCTTTTATAACCAGTAAGCAAAATCATTAAACACTTACCTGTTCTTGTCAAATGATGTTCTCGCCAAGCGTGACTGCAAAATAGCTGTTATCTATGAAAACAGAACCATTTGTAAAGTATGGATATAAGTATTTATAAGTAAAAATCAATACAAGTTAATTCATAATAAAGATAGAGATCTTCAGAAACTCTTACCATAGCAGTTTGGTCCCCTAGTTTGTCAAGGCAGGATGCTCTGTGAAGCTACAATATTATAAATATTACATGAATTTATTTTTTCTCTCAGATGATATAAAGATATTTTCTTAGAAGCAATGAAATAACAGCAAGCATACTGTTACTTAGTAACAGTTAAGATCGCTTCTGATGTATGTATGTATGGCTTCTTCCTAATATATAGTTTTCAAATTCAACATCATCAAGTAAATCTGATTCATGTTAATAAAAGAGATTAGGGTTTCGGTAAGATGTATACATATAACATTTTTAAGTTTCTGCCTGAGTTTGTTTTGAATTATCAGCCCAGTAAATGCCTGAGTTAGGCACTGGCTTACCTGAAGCAACGTCTCCACAACATCTTCCACTTTCCCTGAAACATCCAATTCAAAGACATATTCCATTCTGCCCTACCAAGAAGAGAAAGGGATAAAAACAGAGTAAGAGATGAAGCATGTCCAAACCTCGCGTGAAGAGCATTTGCAAATCCCTGGCTGAAGGCCACACGCATCCGCCTGGTGTGTCCTCCCTCACGCCACCCAGAATGAGAGCTCTGGGGAGCAGAGCCCATCGGATTTACTGCTATATTTATTCTGCACTTGCTTCTGCTAACTTTGGGCTTAGTTTGCTGTTCTTTTTTTTAGTTCCTGGAGGTATACAGTTAGATTTGAACATTTGAGATCCTTTTTTAATGTAGGTGCTTATCACTATAAACTTCCCTCTTAGTACTGCTTTTGCTGCATCCTGTAAGTTTTGATATGTTGTCTTTTTGTTTGTCTTGTGATATTTTTAAATTTCCCTTTACATTTCTCCTTTGATTCACTGGTTGCTCAAGAGCGCCAATTTCCACATACTTGTGAATTTGCCTTCTGCTATGGATTTCTAGTTTTGCTTCATTGTGGTTGCAAAAGATACTTGGTATGAGTTCAATCTTCTTAAATTCATTAAAACTTGTTTCGGCCCTGGCCAGGGCGGCTAGTTGGTTAGGCATCGTTCCATGCACTGAAACGTTGCCAGTTTGAGACCAGGTCAGGGCACATGTCCAGGTTGAGGGATCAGTCCCCAGTGGGGGATGTGCAGGAGGCAGCAGATCGATGTTATGCTCTTGCATCAATGTTTCTCTCTCTCTTCCTCTCTCTCTAAAAATCAATATAAAACAGAAAACTTGTTTTGTGACCTAACATGTGATCAACCCGAAGCATGTTCCATATGTACTTAAGCATGTGTATTCTGCTGCTGGTGGGAAGAATGTTCTCTGTGTCTGTTAGGCTCATTGGCCGATAGCGTTGAGTCGTCCGTTTCCTCATTCACCTTCTACCGGGATGTTCTATCCATTATTGAAGTGGGGCATGAAGTCTACCATGACTGTGTTGCTGTCAATGCCTCCCTCCAATTCTGTCAGTGTTGGCTTCGTACGTGTGGGTGCACACACTGAGGTTGGATGCCTGTATGCTGTGATGGTTAATTCTGTGTGTCCCATGCTCTCCTTTTCCCTTGCGCCCGGGGGAGAGTCTGCTTCGCGGCACAGGCCTCTGTGTGCGTCCTCAGGGCCTCTGGGGCAGCGGTGCGATGCCCCACGCACTCTTGCTTTCAGTGGTTCCAGGCCGGGTACTGTCAATGCTCCAAGGCAGGCAAGACAGAAGCCAGTCCCTCAGGCAGCTGCCCCCGAAGTCAGAACAGTGGACATATGGTCCAGGGTTGTCGTTCCTTCCCGAGGGAGAAGGTGGGAGCTGGGCGTTCCTCTCAGTCATGGCACTGTGCTGGGGGCGCTACCTATTTTCCCGCCGGCTTCAGTGAGGCTGCCTGCGGTGCAGCAGGCTCTTCGTTGGTTTTGAGTTGCTCACGAAGGGAACTGGTCCGTGGATGGTTGTTGAAGTATCTCCATGACAGGAATGAGGGTCTGGGGCTTCCTACCCGACATCACCGTCGATGTCACTACCTCCCCCCTTTTTCAAATCTGAGGATCCTTGGCTTTCTAATTCACATTGGAATAAAAGACCTCTTCTTTGCTTCAACCTCACTCATTTCCTTTGACCTAATTTTTCCACAGCCGGAGTGCAGCTTTGCACTTCAAGGTGGCTATCAGGAGAGCCTTCAGAGGGGGAGCACCCCAGGCAGTGGCTCTCAACTTGGGGGGGAGAGGGGGCATGTGGTGCCACACACAATGGGGGAAACAGTGTATTAGGGCTTTCCGTGGGTGGGAATAGGCTGTATGAGGGACAGCCCCACCCAATAAAGCACTATCCTGCCCAAAATGCCAACAGCACCACCTCATTACATCTCAGCATTTGTAGTTTTGGACTAACTGGTGCATGAACTACTCCTTGTCTATAAAACCCAAAGGCCACTACATGTAGCTCATGCATCCCACAGGCTGCTGGCTGAGAAACTGTGGGCTGGCCTGAACTGGCCTGAGATCAGCCTGTGTTTTCCCAGAGAGGGCGACTTTTCCTAATTCACAGAGGTGTCAGCATAAGGAGCACTGGCCCTGACGCCAGGTCCTGGTAGAATTATCCCTTTACTATACATTAAGCTGAAGCATAAGGAATGAAATAAAACACAGAATGGTTAAATGTAATTTCTAAGCTTACTTAACAGATACTGTATTCAAGTCTACTCATAGCTTCCACCCAATTAAGAGAATTTATAAATTATTACCGAGCTCTCAAATAAGGGTATTAAAACCCATATTTCTCAAAAAATAAATTCTCAATAATATGTAGTAATCTTAAAAATGATGTATGTTTGATTTCAATTTCTATTCTAATAACCTAAGCTCTTTTTTGTCTATTAAACACTTTTTTAAGTCAAAAAGTTCACTGAAATCTCTTGGACTAAAATCTGTGATTCTCGGGTAATTTTGTCATTACTGTTAGGTGACAAGCTTTGAAATACCCATTATTATTATATTTTAATAAAGACGTTAACAGAGTTACAAAACCTTATTGTTCAAAAGCACTACATTAATTCCTGGGAATAAAAAGCTTTACTTACTCTTTCTATTTTATATGGTGCAACAATGTTGTGTTCTTTAATGAAATATACCTGAGAAAAACAAATCAATATTTGTAAAATAAAAATTTTCATAGTCATACATTACTATAAATTCAATTATGAACTGAATTTAAATCATTGTTACACAATCTCCACTTTCCAAAACCACTTACATTAATATTAGTGCAGTTTTAAGATTCTGATGTTAAAATAACAAATATTAAATTAAAAAGCAATGCATCAAGGCAACAAGGCATCACTGGTACCAAGTAACCAAGCAGACAGGTGAAAGAAGCTAATGTAAGTGCCGGTTTTCTAAAAATACGGGTAAAACAAATCACTGGGCATGAAATACATTCATTAACACCAAGAAACTTCTCTTCCCTGGAGGTGACCTGGTCACACCGTGTTCTTACCGGCCACCTGTCCTTACCCTGTGTGTTAGTAACTGTGTCAAACAAGCAACGCCATCTGCCAGAGCCAGCAATGTCCTCTCTGCCTGCCTTCTCTCCTGCTGGGGTGGAGGGTCTGCCGGCTCCCAGACCAGGCACCTCCTAGGGCACAGATATGAACCCCCCCGCCCCCAACCCAGCAGCCATTCCCTTTGCTCCCGTGATGATACACTGCACTCTCTCCCATTGGAAACAAACCACAGTAAAAAACCTCTCCAGGGGGTCACATCCCCTTGCCATGTCTCCATTCCTTTCTGTGGTAAAACTCTGTGCAAGAGCCACTTCACTTTCTCTTGGGCCCAGGACAGGTTTCCACCCAACCACATGACTGAGAACATTCCTGGAAGGTCACAGAAGATGCACAAGATCTCCACGTCACCAAATCCAGCGAGCATCCCTCCGCAGGGTGCCCTGGACCAGCTTCCCAGAGCATGTGACAGAGCTGATGGCTCTTCCCTGGCGCAGCTTGCACTTGGCTCCCCAGGCACCTGCTCCTGGTTCTCCCGACCTCACCCTGCTGCTCCTCCGGCCTTCCTCCCAACCCTGCGCTCTCTCCCGCTCTCTCCTGCCTCTGAGGTTACAGAGAATGGCAGGGCCTCCCAGGCCTCTCTGCCCACACCCATCCTGGGAAACCTCATCAGTCCCAGGGCTTAGAAAGGAATCTGGAACCTGCTGACCTCCAGCTTCTCTGAAGCCCAGACCGGTGCTTCCACTAGTAAATGCTGCCAGACTTCTCCTCTGAGAGATCACATTCCAAGCAAAGCTGCTCCTTCATCACAACCAAGGGCACGACCACCCACCTCGCCAGTCATTCCTGAGGGTTCTCCTCTCCTTACAACTAGCCCAGCGCACACCTGTTAGGTTTTTCTTCAGAACTGACCACCCTCGCCCTTCTACTGCTACCATCCTGCTCTAAGACGCCGGGTTTCTGACACCAACAGGTCTCCTTGCTTCACACACACTCACCCCAACAGCATATCCTCCAGCTGGCCTCCAGAGAGATCTACAAACACACACAAGTCAGATCGCGTCCCTCCTCTGTCTAGGGACTTTTCTTTGGTGTTTCAGTCTAACTCCAGACTGGCCCCAAGGCCCTCCGTGACTTGGTCTCTGCCACTGCTTTCACCTCCCTTCCCAGCACTCTGACTCCCACGGTCCAGGCTGCACCCACACCCTCACTGCGCCTCCCAGCGGCCGCCTCCCAGCTGCCGGAGATACTCACATCTCAGGGACTCCCCCAGGCTACTCTCTGCCCCCAAACACCATTTCTTATGATGGTCGCAGGGCTCGCTCCCCCACGCCTTCTGAGAGGAGGGACCTTCTCATCGAGGCATCCCTGACCATTCTATCCAGAGGAGCACGTGTCCCTTGTCGTATTCTATCCCTTTGTCCCGTCTTCATTTTCTTCATGACATTTATCGCTGCCTGACATTATAGAAGATAATTGATTCTTGTCTGTTTTCCCTAATGAAAAGTAAAATCCAAGGGGAGAGGAGCTCCAGATACTTTGTTCTTCCCTATATCTCTAAAACCTTGAGTATAACAGTTATAGAGTGCATGAATTACAACTATTACACACACACACACACACACACACACACACACACCCTCTTTATCTGCCAGTAAGAGGACATTTGGAAGCCAAACTCTCTAAATCCAAGGGACCTAACATACAGTCATCCCCCCTTTCCAAGGTTTCACTTTCAGCGGTTTCAATGACCTGCAGTCAACCTTGGCCTGAAAATATTAAATGGAAAATAAACAATTCATCAGTTTAGAATGTGTGCTGTTTTAAGGAGCATTATGAAATCTCACACCCTCCTGCTCCACCATTCAGACGTGAATGGCCCCTTGGTCCAGTATAGCCACACGGTACACGCTGCCCGCCCTTAGGCACGGGTAGCTTCCTGGGTTATCAGGAGACTGTTGTGGTGTCCAAGCACTTGTGCTCAAGTCACCCTTATTTCACTTACTAATGGCCCCAAAGCACAAGAGCAGCGATGCTGACGATTCAGAGATGCCAAAGAGAAGCTGTAAAGTTTCTTTAAGGGCAAGCATATGATGCATACAAAAAAAATATGGCATATGTAGGGTTCAGCACTATCTGCTGTTTCAGGCATCCACTGGGGGTCTTGGAATGTATCCCTCACAGATAAGGGGAGACTACTGTGTCTCTGAAACATTGTGACCTAATAAATAATAAAAAACATAAAAGTTGTATTTCTAGGTTGTGTACTTAACCAGGAAGCTTAAAATGATACTTGAGAGAGTAGCTTGTGTCTAGTCACCCCCTAGTGTTAAGCTGATTCTGAGTTTGCTTAATATAAGACCTCTTCTACAAACTATTAAAAATAAGTGGAAGGATTTGGGGGCTTTATTTCTAAGCCCAGTTATTAAAATTTTACCAAAATGTGTATTTTTTTCTAGTGGAAACCAAGAAAGTACTTCCTTTCAAGATACAAACCTTCTAGAATAAGGCAAAGATGCTGAATGATACTGTAGAAGTAAGGAGAGCACAGGGGCAGCCCAGAATTAATAATAATGGTGTTCCTTCCCCAAAGTAATAGATGGCTGTAACTGTTTTTCATATATGCCAGTCACAACAGCATAAAGTCCAAAGTAGCCTGTGAAATGTTTTCTTCCTTGAAATCAATGGAATCATGGATACAGATCAAGAAAATCACGTAATCTGATATCTCTCAGCTTTTATAACAGACTCGTCAGTAGACATGAAAAAGTGTTCCATGATCAAAGGTTCTGGCGATCTGAAAACCGCGGGGAGCACCCTCTGCCCCTAACCATTCGCCTCCTGGACTCTCAATGCACTTCTGTATGTTAAGGCTTTGAGTCAAGTCCCGAGTCTGTGTGTCTTTGTTCCCACAGCATTTCCTACACTTACTTGATCACAGGAAGATTTTTCTTTGAACACTTTAAGGAACGAGGGCTCTCACTAATAGCTGAGGCAACACTGATCTCCTCTAACCCTTGCATTTTAAAGATGAAGGTGAAGTCAGAGGCAAAGGAAAGTGGTAGATGATCTCTCCTCCATTCTTATTTCCAATTTTTCAAATATCTACAGACAAATTAAGTATATAACAGGAGAAAAGCCCTGTTTCACTTTATTTCTCTATTGCCAGTATTAGGCACAGCGCTGGGCGCATAAATGCGTATCAAGTGACTTTGGAATGAATAGCAAGTCATGACCCCAAGCGTCATAATTATACAAGGTTACACATCCCGAGTCGCTGCCTTGGCTGTCAGCATGCCTCAGGCTGAGATCATGTAAGTGGTGTGCTGGCCTCCACCTTCTCAATGACAAGGAGGTCATAGGAGGAACCACAGTCCTTTCATTTCAACCCTCAAACATGGCCAGGACTCCTAAATATGAAACCACAGGCCTGCAGGTTATCACAGCCTTAGTAAACATTAAGGATCTCATTAGGGATCACATCTTTTAAAATATGTATTTCTCAATAATTATTTAAAAGCATTCAAACATTTATTCCAACTATCTCCATTTGAGATTCCTACAAATAATTTAATTATGCTTAAGCCCACATGTGCATGTGCGCGCTTGCACGCACAAGCGTGCACACACACACACACACACAAACACGCACGCAAAGTGTTCGTTCAGGTTAGAACAAAACATTTACTATGTTACTCTTACCTGACTGAAAATGAGTGAAATTCCCCCAGATTTTGCCCTAAAATGCAGATAAAAGTTATTAAACATATATAACGTTTTGGTAGACATGAAATCAAACAGTTAGTGATGATGACATACTTTGCAAAATGTCTATTGGTTCCATTTTCTCCATGTTTTCCTATTTTTATACAATCTCTCAAAGGAATCTGGATAAAATCAAGAGAGAAATGTAAAAATAAGCAAAGATAACATATACACAAAGAATAGGAATGTCTCTATGTTTTACAATGCATTTACCTTAATGATGGGCTGGGATATTGCATCTGGTTCAAAAATAACAGATTTTGAACATATTTTTAAGGAGCCTCTGACTCTCCTAGAGATCAAAGTACAAAAGATTATTATTAGTGAACATTAACAAAAGTCACAAAAGAATCATAATACATTTTAAGGAGAGAGTAGCTGGCTAAAGCATCAACTAATAAAAGATCAACAACAGAATTAAAGAGAAGGGTGTGAAAGGTTGGAAAATATAGCAAAATAATTGTCCTCATCTCCTAGAGGTTAACAAAACCTGCATGTATTCTAATTTTGGTGAGCTCTGTCCCATGCACTTCATTTGTATGACGTCATTTGGAATTCACAACTACACTGAAAGGAAATGAGGATCAGAAAACTGATCCTTAAGACACACTGATTCTACCCTGTCTCTAGAAAATCCTTTTGACTTGTAATTCCCTATATCTAAAAGAACTATTCAGAAGGCAACACTAAATATATAAAATTGACCGTGTAAGAGATTTTTTTCTTACTAATCATAATGAAAAAATAAACAGAGTTTGAAATTATCTCATAAAATGCTTTTAATGGTGATTCTGGGGTATGTAGGAATTCAGGAAAAAATTTGTTCATAATAATAAGCAATTTTAAGATCAATTCAAATGTTAGATTTAGGGCTTTTAATTCCACTTCTTGGATTTATTTCTGCATGTCTGTATAGTTTAAATAATCTAGTGGTTGGAAATTTACAGTATTTAAAAAAATAAATCACAGTGAGAAATATAGTCTTATAGTCTGAGTCCCGCCTCCCTTCCTCCTACCATCACCAGATTAACACTCCCTGTTCTTTTGTCGGCAGCAATATTTCTTTAGCTTTCTATCTTTGGTGCTTAATACATATGATTTAATTTGCAATTCTTCGTCCTCAGAGGATATTTTACATCACTGATTTTACATAATTTTTTCCTGCTGTTAAATGCATGTACTTTTCTAACACCCTAAATTATATAATAATAACTTAAGAAGTACTTTTATGGAAATTTTTAACATATACTAATAGACAATAGAAAACTTGCAAGTATCAATTATCTAGCTTCTGCAACTGTTAACATAAATAAATTTCTTAGACTCATTAAATAAATAACCTATCATTATCAAACCTAAAAAAATTAATAATTCCTTAATGTCATCAGTATTTAGTCAGTGTTGAAATTTTTCTATTTCCTAAATAGGTTTTAATAGTTGGTTTGTTCAAATCCTAATCCAAAGTCCATATTACATTTAATTGATAATGCCTCTTCTATCTCTTTACTCTAAAACAATTTTCATTTTCCCACATTATGAATTTTGCAAAATTAAAAGACGACCAGATTCTGGTTTGATTTTCTGACAAGAATGCTTCAGAGGCAGGGCACATGTACTCCCTTATCATCAGGAGACTCGGTGGGTTCAGGTGATGTCAGCCTTGGCGTATCCATTATAACATTTCTCAGCAGCTTTTCACCTGCTGGTTTAGCAGCCATTGAAGATTCTGTCTAGATCAGCGGTTAGCAAACGTTTTCTATGAAGAGCCAGATAGTAAATATTTTTTTCCTTTGCAGGCCATATGCATTCAACTCTGTCACAGCATTCAACTCTGCTATTGTAGCAGGAAACCAACCACACACAATACATAAACAAATGAGTGTGTGTGTCCCAATAAAACTTTATTTTCAAAATAAATGTTTTTACCTAAGAGCTGTCATTTGCATCTACCTAATGAATGTATCTCCATTACTCATTGGAGATTGAAATTTTTATCACTCCTCTGTGTTTATTATCCAGAATTTCTCAAAGAACATTTTTAAAATTGAAGGTACTGATTTTTATATCATTCTGTGTTTTATGATCATTACTTTATAACACCATAACCCAAATAATTGAGTGTATAAGTACAAAAGGGATCAAGAAAAAAGTGATGGAATGAATCAGAGCCCTAGCCAGCTGATCTGAGGTACTCACAACCTTGGAGGAATTAGTACACACTGATTCTTAGCTTTGGTAAATATTCGAAGTATGACAACAACTTATAAACGCCCCTCTTCTCATTACATTCCCAATACGAACGAAGGGATGAAAAAAACCTCCATGATCATACATTTAATTTTAAAAACATCAGACAACAGAAAGGTTTGCTAGGCCATAGAGATACCAAAACTTCCTTACCTTTCCTTCTGACTGCCCTTATGCTGAATATGATGAGCTGTATGCTGCTCGAAGAAGTATTCCTCCAAGTTAAGAAGGAGCAAGGAAAACCTAGATTGAGGGGCAGGAAGATACCTCATGTTTATTTTTTTTAAGTATAAGAAAGCAGAATATTTAAAGCATCCATTGCCAAAGCACTTTTCATTTATTAAATCAACAGGTGCTTATTAAGGGTAGATTATAAGTCAGACATTCCTCGCTATCCAGTAGTGAGGAGACAACACACAGACCAGCTGGCTATGCCAAAAATAAATAAATAAATGAATGAATGAATGAATGAATAAATAAATAAATAAATTTTTTACCAGGCAGATTTACTTTTTCTTTAGAAAAACCCAAAATTTCATGATATAAAATTTATTCTTGCCTGAAAAAACTTGGAGTTTTCCCACCTGAGGAGTTCTGATCCTGTTTCCCCATCTCTTCCCCACCACCCAGAAACCCTCAAACATTAAGACTTGTGATTAGATGAATTTATCCTGCTACTCCTACAATAGCCCCTGTAATAACCAATCTAATGCTTTGTACACAATGAGTGTTTAATAAATAAGTAAACTGAACTGAATGGAATTTTTTAAAGTTTTGAGTGCTTTAAACTTTTAAAAACTAATTAAGGTGATAAGGAAAAGTACAAATTTAGTTGTATGGCCACAGAAACAAATATATGACAAAGAACTGCAAACAAATGTTTTGTTTGTCTTATGATAAGAAGCAGGAAATATCAACAACATCTAGAGTTACAGGGAAAAGCTTTTATGACAAGTGTGGAACTTAAGATGGGTCTTGAAGGTCTGGTGTGTGATGGAGGAAGATGTTTAGATTAAACATTTATTTCTGTTTCCTCTGGAAACTCCACTTTAAAAAGGGGAACAAAAACACTTTTTCAATGGTAAAACCCACAGACTAAAGAAAATTACAGACACATAAAAGCAGATGAGAGATCTCAACAAATTAGTAAGAAATGGAAAGCAGATAGGAGGAATCAGGAGTGATCTGAAACCAGAACAGCAGATGCCTCCAGAGAAGGTCCGAATTAGGAGAAAACCAAGACCAGTCTCAGGTCTTCCGGAAAGTCCAAAGCTGCAGGTTTCAGTCCGAAGGAGGCAGGATGAAGCATGAGGTGGAGGACGCAGAGCCTGAATGAGGAGGAGTGGTCTAGGTTCCTCCCTTGATGGCTATCCCTATCGCACTCTGGCACATGGTTTTTCTATAGAAAAACTGAACAAGAGGCTTCAAACTACACATCAGCACAGGGAAAGCAGGGCTATGGAGCAAAAAGAGGGTGATTACACAAAACCAACCAACAAACAAAAAAACAGGAAGACAACACACAGACCAGCTGGCTATGCCAAAAGTAAGTAAGTAAATAAACAGCCAGTCAGATTTAGTATTTATAATCATTACTTTACAGCTTCCAGCAGCAGTCTGTTGGGTTGTTTTGGGGAAAAACTAAATAGCAGGAGAAAAAGACCTATGGACTTTTGAAAGAGCCGGGTTCTCTACAACAGCATCCCCATAGAGAAGAGCAACAGATAAGGCCTGCCCGGAGTGACACGGGATTACACACTTCACACTTCAATATGAATGGGCAATTCACGACCACCAGCCTCTAACATGAAAGAACGAAACCAAAACAAGCAGAAGAACACAATTTGAAGGACTGGAGACAATGCAGAGAACAGAAGAAAAGGCTAAAGGACTATAATTAATATCCTTACAAAGAAGAAATTACACCCATGAAATAAGATGTTGCTCATTAAAAAAATCTGAACCAAAAGAAATTTAACTCACAATTAAAAATAACAAGAACAGGAACCAGTTTAATATCATAACCAGCAACTCTTAATCGCCTGTTCTCATTTTAAAATCCATGAACAAGAGTTAATCATAGGCTAACCTGCTTGAGCTCACTGTAAAATGCTCACTATTAACACTTTTATCAGGATGATCATCAAGTAAGTTATGTAATGTCTAATCATTGTGGTGTACACCTAAAACTAATGTAATATTGTATGTCAACTGTAATTGAAAAATAAAAAATGATACAAAAAATGACCAGGCAGTTATAAATGACCCAAATAAAACTAGAAATGTGTAAAAATACAATAATTGAAGTTAAACTAATGGAATAGACAGAAAATTAGGCAACTAGATAGAAAATTAGTAAATTAGAAGATGGATTTAAATAATTCACAACACAACACAGAAAAATAAATATTAAAGAGTGGTTATAAGGCATAAAAGAACTAGCAAAAGCAGTATTCCAAGAGCCAAAGGCTTGGCTCCAGATAGTTCCAAAACTGTTTCAGCTTCAGGACCCCAATCAGGATGAATAGAAAGACATCCCTATATAGACAAACACCAAAACACTGCAAAGAGATCGTAAAAGCAGACAGAGAAAAGACATTACTTACAGTGAACAATTAAACTTAAATGATATGGGTTTACTGCAGGCTGGTCTCCCAGAATAGAGACACAAGCTACATAGAAACCTGTGATGGTCTTGTCCTGGCCAACCACAAGGCTAGGACCCCAGTGTCTTAATCTACCATAAAAAGGGCTGGTGGTTTTTAACCATGAACATGGATACAACAGATACTGCCCCATCCTGCCACATGCTACAGACCCAAGTGCAAGGCCAAGAGAGCCCCCAGTCAAGCCAGGAAAGGGGCAAGGCCAACCCACAGCCACAAAAACTGAGCTGGACATGCCAAGCCAAGGTTCCATCGCAGGTTAGCTCTCCTGTATCCTAGCCCAGGCTAGTCCTTGGGATCCCAGTGTCTCCTGGAGTCTGAAGCCCGTCCCTGTGGGACAGCTAAGTGCTGCAGCAGGGGGCCATGGCACATGTGTTACTAACCCTTTCTCTGTTGAACTTCCTCCCTGGAATGCTGCTCCAGCAAGCATATTCCCTAGCCATTTGCCTTCGTTTGCACAATTTCCAAAATGCGGAATGAATTATACATCTAGCAAAACTGATTTTTCAAAACAAGGACAGCATAAAGACAGGTTCAGACAGACCAAATTAAACTTAGTTTAGGATCACCAGACCCTTATCAGGGGAACGTCTAAGGGCTATTCTTCAGGAAAGAGAAAGTAATTCCAAGGGGAAGATGTGATATGTGAGGAAGAATGCTGAACTAAATATGCATGTAAAACAGAGAAGTATTAACTAGACAATTATAAAGCAGACCCCACCCCCCATGTTGGCAATTTCACTTTCTGTGGTTTCAGTTACCTGTGGTCAACCATGGTCTAAAAATATGAAATGAAAAATTCCAGAAATAAATAACTCATAAGTTGTAAACGGTGGCACTGTTCTGAGTAGCGTGCTAGCATCTAGTGCCTTCCCCCTGGGGCCAGCTCAGAACGCGAATCATCCTTTGGTCAATCTTCTCCCACCCTGTTAGTCACTTAGGGTCTCAGTTGTCACATCGGCTGTTGTGGTATTGCGGTGCTTGTGTTCAAGTAACCCTTGTTTTGCTTAATAATGGCCCTCAAATGCAAGAGTAGTGATGCTGGCAATTCAAATATGCCAAATAGAAACTGTAAAGTATTTGTATGTATAAGAAAAAACACAGTACTAGTATACTGTATACAGTATTCAGTACTATCTGCAGTGGCAGGCATTCACTGGGGTTCTTACATTGTGTTTCCCCGCCCCCCCGCCCCCATAAGGAGGGAAAACTAAAATGTTTAATTTATAGTTTTCAAATACAGATGGAAAATTCTGGACAATGCCAGGTTATAATTTAGGATGGGACAACAGGAGTTAACTATTCCAAGATCCTTATATTATTACGGAGGACGGTAAGAAGAATGATTAGCTTCAGTATAAACATTAAAATTCAAGAGTAAGCACTAGAAAAACAAAATATGTAACTTCCATATGCTTCAGGAAAAATGAAAGGGAAAAAGCAGGGTCTTAATTCAAACTAAGGATAAATATAAGACAAAATTAAAGAACAAAATAAAAAAGTAAAAATGGATCCAAATATATCTGTAACAATAATAAATGTAAATGAACCAATCTGACAAGACAAATCTTATCACTACCCTAAGCTTAAAGGGTGTGAGTGAGGGATACACCCAAGACCTGAGTCCCCAACTCCTGCCTAAATTTGTGCTTAGTCTAGTTATAACAACAACAACAAAATCCCAAATACCTTGGACCTAGAAGAATTTTCTTCAGTTCACCAAATGTGACTGCGGCCTACCCACAATGCCTTGACTTGCTCACTTGCTCCCCTCCCTGGACTAGTTCCTACAGCATGCTCCCTGAGCCCCTTCCGAGCTCCCATTAGTCTTCATCATTATCCTCTGGATGCAAATTCATACATGTGAAGACATACAAACGAAAGGAAGCCCTAACTTCCTTTCCTCCTGCTCGCACATGGCCTTCTGGGAGGTCTTTCCTGGCCGCTCTACCTGACACGGTGTAGCCCTGTCTTCTGCTCACACTGGCAGCCCCTTCCTGGCCTTGTGTTCCCTCCCCAGCAGAGATCCTTCTTTCACACACCGTACCCTTTACTTGCTTGTCTATTTTCTGCCACTAATAGAGTATAATATCTCAATTTTTAAAAATTAAATGAATAAATCATAAAATCCCACCCCAAACGAAAAAGTTATCAGAATAAATTATTTCAAAGTCCAACTATAAGCTTTAGAAAAAATATGTCTAAAACCTTTGGACACACAAAAGTTAAAAGTGAAAGAATGAAAAATTCTAAATAATGCAAATAATCAAAAGAAAATTGATATAGTTATATTAATATCAGACAAATAGAAAAATATCATTGCTAGAAGAGTTCATTATATATTGATGAAAGACTCAACTAAGAAGATATAAATTCTAAACTTATATAGACTTAATAACATACCCTGAAAATATATGTAGCAAAGATTGATAGAAATACAAGGTCAAGTTTACATCATGAAGCATTTCCCAGTAATTGATTAGTCAATCAGAAAAAAAGTAATTAAGGAAATAGAAGATCTAAATACAATTAATAAACTTAATATAATGTCTTTCAACCCATCAGCAGTCCTGATTA